TTTTTGTGAGCAGTCTGCCACATTTGTTGGAGTGCTCGTAGAAGAACCTGGCTGTATTTCGCGCGGTATGTAGTAGTCCCTGGGAGAGTATGGTTCGGTGTTCTCTACGGGCCTCAGTTACGAGGAAATAGGTCTCTTCATCTAGTGTGCGTTTATGTTCCTGTTCCAGTTCGGCAACTCGTTTGGACAGGTGAATCGTACGTGCAGCACCGTCTTGTTTGCGCTTGGAGCTAACTGCTATGAGGTGCCCCAGATGACACACTTGTGTGCCTCCAAGAGCGTAAGTGGTGTGATGTCTGGGGTGTTATTCATCGTGAAATAGTGGGTCAAAGTGTGTGCCGCTGTGGTAGTGAGTTTGGAGTCGTCCAGGAGGGTCTCGTTGAGCTTCCATTGCCGTTCTTTAGGCTTGAAGAGTGGGGAACTTGTGTGTGCTAAGATCTGTGCGTGGTCGGATTGTTCCATCGTCCCTATCTCTGTGCCATGTAGTAGCGTCACATATTCTTGTGCGAGGAATATGTAATCTATTCGGCTGTAGTGTGCATGGACGGCAGAGTAATAGGTGTAGTCTCTTTTTTTAATTTTTTTTTACCTTTTCTGGGAATACCCCAAAATCATATGAAAACTCCATAAAACGTACATGTCCTGATACCCCACGATCTGGGGGAACAACATATTCAAAAATCTGTTCCTGGATTCAAAAGTTATATGGAAGTCCCATTTCTGCCCAGCCGCACGTTAGGCGCCTGCCCAGAATAGTTCCATGAATTCAGCTGGTGCGGCCGGTCTCTTTCGGTAGTATGAAAACATATCAAAATAACTAAATAACTGTTCGTGTATGTGGTTCCCCATTGTCTCTTGTTCGGATGATTAAATCTACTGAATGCCGCTGCTTTCGTGCAAGGGAAAGTCGAATCAATGGAAGTCTTGAAGTCCCAGCGGTGTTCGTGCGGTCGAGTGCCCAAAAATTGTTCCATACACTTGACAACAAAACACAGCTGGCTGCGTTTGACAGTTAATATGGCCGCCGCCACCACGTGTTCGTGCATACGAACGCCGACCACTCAGAATGTTGAGGTGTTTGCGGTTTCCCAAGGTGTTGGAAAGGTTAAAGGTCAATAGGCAGCACACTCCACTACTGGGTAGTCGGTCATTCGGTAGTTGGTTCGGTTTTTCGAACAAGATCAGGGTATTTATAGGGAAGGTTAGAATTACCGAACAAACAGAAGAACTAAGAAATAAAATATAAAATCCAGGGACAGAGGTCTGTCACAGTGTATTTTTGTAATAAATATATATATATATATATATATATATATATATATATATATATATATATATATATATATATATATATATATATATATATATATATATATAAATACACTTAGTATGAGAGAGAGAGAGAAAATTTGTACATCTTTTTTTTTTTTTTTTTTACAGCCGCAGGGAGACTGCCTGTCAGTTCAGGCAGTCCACCTGCAGGCAAATGCATGGACGGCTATTGCGGCCATGTGCCCGCTCTTTTAGAGTGATTACATGGCCCACGGGGGCCTAATTTGCCGAGGGGTTACTGTCTGGGCTATCAGGCAGTTCCCCCAGACCGGGAGCAACACTGATCGTGGGGGAAATGCGACGATCAGGTAAATAATAAAGAATCAGTGGACATACTAAGTACGTCCGTGGTCTTTAAGGACCATTTGTTTTTTGTTTTTTTGTTGGACATACCTAATACGTCCACAGTCCTTAAAGGACCACTCTAGGCACCCAGACCACTTCAGCTTAATGAAGTGGTCTGGGTGCCAGGTACCTCTAGGATTAACCCTTTTTTTTAATAAACATAGCAGTTTCAGAGAAACTGCTATGTTTATACTGAGGGTTAATCCAGCCTCCAGAGCCTCTAGTGGCTGTCTCATCGACAGCCGCTAGAGGCGCTTGCGTGCTTCTCACTGTGAAAATCACAGTGAGAGCACGCAAGCGTCCATAGGAAAGCATTGTAAATGCTTTCCTATGCGACCGGCTGAATGCGCGACCGGCTCCTGCCGTGCATGCGCATTCAGCCGATGACGTCGCGATCAAGGAGGAGAGGAGGAGTACAGCTCCCCGCCCGGCGCTGGAGAAAGGTAAGTGTTTAACCCCTTCCTCTCTCCAGAGCCCGGCGGGAGGGGGTCCCTGAGGGTGGGGGCACCCTCAGGGCACTATAGTGCCAGGAAAACGAGTATGTTTTCCTGGCACTATAGTGGTCCTTTAAGGAGTTAAATTTGATATTCGCCTTGAATTCTTACTTTAGTAAATAACACGGTTTTCATTATCTAATTCTCTTCTCCACTACTCACTAATTATTGCTTCATTATTCTTAAATGTATAGTTTGCATTTACTTTTTTCCAACACCGTATGCATCCAAAGCTTTTGTTCAATCTCTCATTACCTCTTGGCTTGATTACCGCAACTCGCGATTTCAGTCTGGCAATCACATTGACTGTTACGATTTGTTTGCTGCTGCCTGACATCTCTTCTCTTTAGTTGCTACGGCTTCCCTTGTAATCCTAAAAGATACAGAAATTCAGTGTATGGATTGCTGAATACAATCCCATTTTTTATTCAATGCTCTCTTAAACACATGTTATTTTCCCCAGTGTTAATATGAGCATTTCAAATACCAGAGCTACCAGGGATGTGCATGGGTAAAAAATTCAGTTTAAGTCGGCACTTCTGAAATTTGGCACTTCAGGAATTCCTTAACCCTAACCACTAGTAGGGGTAGGGTTAGGGTAAGGAATAGGGTTACAGGAGGGTTAGGAGTAGGGTTAGGGTTAGATTCCTGTCATCATTCCCTTAATTTTACCTCCCTGTCCTGTTTTGCCACTTTTCAGAAATCCAAAGCACTGCGGGAAAAAATTTGGCACTTAGAACAATCGGCAGCATCCAAATGTCCGAATTGACAAAATTCGTCCGACTGAAACAAATTGCACGTGTCTGAGAGCTACTGTAGTGTATAGGGTGCAAGCAATCAAACTGTTTAGTAACCATTTTATTTCTTACCTTGGTTCACTAGCCACTTCTCCACACCTCTCTGCTAGAAGCTTCTGGTAGCTAAATTGTTGGACCAACTTATTGGCTGAGAATCAACTGATTGCCTCTCTATCTGCACCATTGACCATGGCTTAATCTAGAGAGCTTCCACCAAAGAAGAAGACAAATGTTACTAAATGGTTGACTCCTTAGATGGTTAGGAGTGCCATGACTGGCATTATAACCACTACAGTGTGCCACTAGACCTGCCTCCCGTGATGTAAGGCTGACTTTTCTCCTTTAATCCAGTGCTTCTCAGAGCCAGCACTGCCCATGTCCAGCCAAATAGAGGTTAGTTGTAAGAACAATGTCTATGTTTTCACAGCACATGCGCCTCCAGTGGCCGCCAGGGAAACTGTGACTAAAGGCGGTTTTAATACTGTAATGTCAGCATTGTTGTATCTACTAAACAGCAATGTTTTACAGGGTTTAAACTAAAAAAAACAAAACAAAAAAAAAAACATCATCCAGCCCACTTAATTGAGATGAAGTATCTTGGGTGCATATAGCAATCCTTTCAGTTTTTTATTTTTATGGATTTCACATTCTGTATTGGCATATTTGGACTAACTTGTCCTCTTAAAAAGCTTTCTAATCTGTAATTAACTAAATAATAAGGTAGGTTTAAAAAAAAAAAAAAACACACACCAGCATTAAAGGGATCCTATAGTGTCAGGAAAACAAAGCTGTTTTCCTGCACTATAGGTTTAAAATGTCCCCCCCTCCCTCGCAGATTAAGGGGTCAAAATCCCTTCAGTCACTTACCTCAATCCAGCACCAATGTCCCTCGGTGCTTGGTCAGGCTCCGTACGCGCATTAGACCTCCCCCAAGGAAAGCATTATTCAATGCTTTCCTATGATGAAAACCGGATCTAAAAGTCCTCATGCAGAGCGTGAGAACGTCCAGGGTCTGATAATGGACCAGAGGTCCGTTTTTGATTCCGGAAACTCTCTAGTAGCTGTCTGGGAGACAGTCACTGGAGGCAGACTTTGGAACTGCAATGATTTATATTGCAGCACTGAGAACTGCAATGTTTACATTGCAGCTCTAAGTGCAAAAGGGACACAGCACCCAGACCACTTCAATGAGGTGAAGTGGTCTGTGTGCCTACAGTGTCCCTTTAAACAAATTGGGTGAAATGTATTTTAAAAACATGCCATAAAAATATTTACATTTATTACACACACTCTCTCTCTCTCTCTCTCCTCTCCTCTCCTCCCCCCCCCCAACAATTAGAATCTTAATATTCTGATTCACTGCTCTTGCTTGAGGTGTCTTTGGTTTTTTTCTTCTTATTCTCTACCTTTTCCCACCTCTCTTTTGGGGAGCAAGTCCCTGTTATTTTAAGTTAACAGTTATTGATGTAGAACACTGTAGACAGCTCTTTTTTTTGTGTGTTCTGTAACTAAATTTTGAATTTGTGCACTTTCACCTGCAAAAAACTAATTTCTGTATGGTGTTCCATTTGCACATATAAACTGCAGATTTTCTAGGAGACACAAGACTGTTCTAAATTGGATGTGCCTTTCCAGTTCAATTCACTGGATCCTATCCTATATTTCCTTAAGTAAATACCTGAATTGCTATCCAGATTTTTGTATTTCACAAAGATTAAAGAAAAAATTCTGACCATTCATTTAGAGCTGTGTCTAAAATATATATATATATATTTTTTTTATTTTTTTTATCGGAGTAAAATTCAGCATTACCAAGAACAGTATGCATGATCTTAAAAGTCCAAATTCATCAAAAATTAAATCCATCTGTTCATTTCACACTCTTTGTTACACTTCCCTGAAGATATTCACTGTGGTTTGCTCCATTACTTTAGCAACTGGATGTAATTACGATAAGCTAATAACTCATATTTTCAGATTAACTGCATTGTGCTCTTTTGGAGAACTACCAAGGTGTTTTTCCCTTGAACATCTCAGTAGCTTCATATTTAATACTCGTAATCACTCTTTCAAATTAGGTTTAAGACAAACATATGCTGTGGGCACATCTTCCCTTTGAAGAACTGAGCTATGCATGGAATGTTACAAAACAGAAAAATATGTATATGCTCTGTTTATTGCTGTTAGGTTGATATATAGCATTTTATTCAAACTGACTACACTGGTCTGATTGCATAGCAACATCTACTAAATGAAGTAAAAAAAAAAACCATTTAATATTTTTTTTGTCTCTTAAGCAAGACTTTCTCGTCAGTTTTCTGCTTTTTCCTTTGTTTTTGCTTATGTTTTAATCTAAGTAATTGAAATGAGTAGGGTTTTTTTTTTTGTTTTTGTTCCCTCTATATAAGTGTTTGGCGTTTAATAAAACAAAAGCAGACTTTTTTTTTTATGTCTCCATTTATCTTTGTAAGCTACTGCATCTTTGCTCGCTGACTGTCGGACAAGGTATTCTGACTTAATGAACTCATTAATATGATTTTGGAATGTAAGTGCACATCTACTCATTTTGGTAAATATGCATTATACAAATGGTACAAATATAATAAGTACTCCTGTATGAAATCCTTACATTTGTTGTAAATTCACAGTGAGAAAACAATTCCTCTTGTAATAATTTGGTAAGGGACAGGCTCATAGTAGTGTCTCTTTTCTCAGATCACTGTGGTTACAGCAATTCTGTGCTGAGAGAGTGGGAGCCATTTTGTGCTGTAAACAGTGTAGATTAGTATCGCACTTACTGTTCATTTACATTATAAGACTACACCTATTTATATCTTTTTGCCATTATGTTGTATTATGCAATACCTAAAAGGCAATTCTCAAATTGCTGCCACCCTCCCTTATCAGTCCAATTTACATCGTGTAACTTATTCAGTGGAAAATATTTTTTGAGACTGGTAGTGGCAGATAGATCTACTGGATGAATGTGCAGAGTGCAGTTGCACTACTTTGGCAGACAGAACCTATGAATTTGACATCTGGACCCCTTGATACACTCTAGATAGTGGTCTTGAACACTGGATAGTAGTGACTGGAAAACGGACTACACCTAAGGATAGCAACTGTAACATATTTCATATTAGAAAATAAAAGTAGAGCCATCAGCACCATCTTTTTCTGTACCTTGCAGTGGCATATTAAACCATGTGATCAGTGGTGATGCTGCTCAGAAAATTTGTAGAAGCCTTAATAACATTTTTTGCAACTATATTGTAACTTGGAACAAGAATAATGTAACTTATTTACACAGACTGATTTCTAAAAATATTAAAGGAACATTATAAAATTAGGAATACAAGCTTGTATTCTTAATGCTATAGTACCTCAGTCCCTATTTCTTTATACACCACCCACTTATTTACTTTTTTCAGTGCCAAGGCTCTATCGGCACTATTCAACTCTCCGCCTCCTGAAACTTCATGGAGGAAGCCTGGCCTCCTCCGCGATGTTCTAAACCAATGCTCCTCATATATTCCTGATATTTCTTACTTAAAGAAACAATCTAGAGTCAGGAACACACTCATGTATTTCGGACCCTATAGTGTTAAAACTACCATTTGCCCCCTAAATATAGCAAAATCTTACCTTTACTACAGTCTGCTGCTACTTCTGCTGGCTCTGCCCCTGATCTGCCTGCTTGGCTGACCTCATTAGTAGTGGTGTTCTGAGCCAATTACAATGTTTTCACATTGGATTGGCTGAGACTGTCAACTAGACAGATCGGGGCAGAGCCAGCACAAGCCAAACACAGCCCTTGCCAATCAGCATCTCCTCATAGAAATGCATTGAATCAATGCATCTCTATGTGGAAAGTTGAGTGTCTCCATGCAGAGGGTGGAGACACTGAATGGCTGTGCTGCAGTACTGCCTCAGGAAGCACCTCCAGTGGCCATCCAGTGGAGGTATACCTAGGCTGTAATGTAAACACTGCAGTTAATCTGAAAAATAGTGTTTACTGCAAAAAGCCTGAAGAGAATGATTACTACTTACCAGAACACATGCAATGAACTATAGTTGTTCTGGTAACTTTAATGTCCCTTTAAGTGGATAAGATTGATAGTGAAGAAGGAAATTTAATTTAAGGACAAGTTTCACCCAAGTTTATCCTGAGATGCCATTCTCCATTTATAGAAGGACCGTTTGTGGTTAGTAACCTATGTACAGCTATTGATTTGCAACATAACATTAGTCCATCTATTAAATACAAACATGAGTTGCAAATTCAATGTAACTCTATATATACCAGTTTTGTTATTTCTTCAGTTTTTGTTTTCACTGGCATAGCAAGTGAGTTACAAATACTGTACTGTTACAGACTATTTTCTGTGACAGAGCAAATGCGATGAACTTTAGAGAATTAATCTGTTAGAATTTAAATATTGCTTTTTACCTTGAGAAACATGACAGAGGATTATAAAAAAACAATACCAATTTTTCTATGCTCTATCATAGTTATTTGTTTATTTTAATGTATATATTGCCATTGCCTGTTTTTTTACTGCGACCATAAAATGCTTGTTTTTAAATGTATTAGTTTGTGTGCAGAACTGTTGCTTCAGATCAAGCATGTCAAACTCGCGGCACACAATGGACATCTTTGCAGCCCGGCGAGCCGAGAGTACATGCTTGGCGTTCCAAGCAGAGTAGGCACCTGCTTTTCCCACATTGCAAGTGCCTATTCTGCTTGGAATATTTATCCGGCTGGAGAGGAGAGGAAGGTGGATGCAGCGAGGGAGCTCAGCCTTCCTGCTCCTCACTGCTCCCTCGCTAATACCATCTATAGTGATGCCGGACACCGGAATATAACGTCATATTCCGGCACCTGGCATCACTAAACTGCACGTGAGGGAGCAGTGAGGAGCAGGAAGGCTGAGCTCCAGATAGAAGATCCCCACTGGATCCCAGGTATAAATACAATGATGTGAGTGTGTGTGTCTGTCTGCCTGTCAGTGTGTTTCTGTCAGTCAGTGTTGCAATGGCCGCGGCTGGACAGTGGAGGACCTGGAGGTGCACAGAGGCACACAATGCCATGTCACATTCCGATGTGACTTTGACGTGCTTCACCTTCACAGGGTTTCAAGAAGTAGCGGGAGGTTCCACTTTGGCATAGGGTGTGGACAGTGCCATTTGAGGTATACCAGAGGCCATACTCCGGAATCGCATACTGGCAGTGGCAATGTGAGTAGAGTCTGCTTGTTGGCTAGAGGGGGGTGCTGGGATTTAGTATATGGGAGGCGGGGGATGGGCTGGGATTTAGTAAAGGGGGGTTCTGGGATTTTTTCTATACTGTAATTTTCAAAATAAACCTACGTCTCTATGAAAATGTAAGTTTTTTTGTTTTGTTTTTTGCGGCCCACATAAACTTAAACCTTGTTTATTTGGCCCTTGCTAGACTTTGAGTTTGACATGCTTGCTTTAGATTATATTTTCTTTTGTGCATGTAGGAGAACAATTTAGACCTTGCATGTAAGCATATAATTTACTATTGTGATTTGTATGTTTTGTGGTATGCAATATTTGGTATGTTTTTTTTGATGTTGCCGGTGATTTAGTTTAGTTGGTTAATGCATAAACTACACAACCTGTATACAGACAGTATAATCATCAAATCAACCTTTGATTAATGAGGTAGTTTAGGTGTATAGACAATGCCATTGGAGTCAATATTCTACTGTTTATGAGTGAAGGGTTACTCTAAGCACCATGACTACATAAGTTATTTGAAGTGGTCATGGTGCTTAACCTCTGTACATGCAGAGATTAACTCCACTTCTGGCAGCCTCATTTAGATGTCATGAGCCAGCTCGGAACTAGAAATTTGGACTGGCTGGTGTCAACTCCATGCCACGTTCATTGCACTGAATGTCTGTCATTGGCTGAGTGTGTTGTCAGCTGATGCTCTCAGCCAATGAATGGTGACACGAGCAGATTCCAGGTTTACTGACTCTGTAGAAGACAGAAGCATATCACTGGACCACCAGGTACCATTGGAGCCCGGCGGGGACCAGGTAAGGGACAAACCATTGCTAAACAGTTTGCTCCCATTACCGGGGAAAAGCACTGGAATTATAACAACTACAGTTACACCTCCCCTAGCTGTGACTTACACAGCCTCTATTAAAAATGTGTTATTTTTACAGCTCTGTGTGTTCACATTAGATATTCTTATGGTCTGCTCTGTTAATAGAACTTTTAATCACATACAAGAGGTTGTTGCAGGTTTTATCAGGCAATTAACAGAGCAGTAGATAGACTTTCTAAATTAAATACACTGAGCAATCAGGGAGGCTAAAATCTTTAGGTCTCTTTTTCAGGAACTGTATAGCAAGGCTGTGTTCCTTGAAGTCAGGGGAGGTGTGGCTAGGGCTATATAATCAAAGTGGAATCCAGTTGAATTTCTTCTTGTTAAAAAAAAAAAAAGTGACAACGTGAGTATAGTAACCCATCTTTCATGAGTATAACTAAATGGCCCACGTGTCTGTATGTCATATATAAAGTCTAAACAAATATTCCGTAAAATGAATCTAAAGATCAGTAAATATCAAAGTTTTTAAAATTTTTTTACGGTTGCTGTGTTTCCCCCGTTGTTAATCTAGCATTTTTAAAAAATCTAAATTACCACCTAGACACTATAGAAAAGCAGAGAAAATATAGCTATCTGCAAAATTGCTTGTCTGCACACTAACATATACCAAATGATTGCAACAGAATGCATCAAAATGATATATAGAAAATAAATAACACATTTCACTTTACATCATGTATTGTTTTGCCCAAAGTTGCAATAAACAAATATATTCCCTTTCCTAGGTGTGGTATTTTGCTGTCATATAAATTGTCAATCCAATCAGTGATCTTGGCCAAAGGCTAGAAATTAAAAATAATTTAGTTAAGACCATGATTGGTAACACAGTAAGAGTCAATGTCATACTGTGATGCATATGTCACTAAGTTGAACTGACTCCAAGTAAAGGCTTTGCAATCATGTAAAGAATATTATTTGTGACGGCCATAGTTCCAAATTTCTACAGCTTGCATTAATAATTACATGATTTTGCTATTTCATGACGAAAAGTCATGATTTTATGAAAGACACGGAGGCGAGTATTGCTTAAAGGACCACTCATCTTAATGAAGTGGTCTGGGTGCCAGGTCCCTCTAGGATTAACCCTTTT